TACAGTCACCATTCGGCAGCTTTCTTTGTACCAGAATGACAGGTTGTGTGATGGGCAGGTACACAGAGGGGTGGCACTGCTGGTCGACCAGCATGTATCCTCCTTATCTGTGTACCTCGATACACTCTTGGTGGCTATAGCCATCCGTGTTTCCTTCAGTTGTACCATCACTGTTTGTTCTCTCTACCTGTCTCCTGGGGAGACTTATGATCAATCGGACCTTGATGCTCTCGATGACCAGTTGTCATCTCCCTTTTTATTTCTGGGAGACTTTAATGGACACAACCTCCTCTGGGGTGGTGCTGATATTGATGGGAGGGGTCGTTCCATAGAGCATATGCTCTCGGATCACAACCTTTCTCTCTTCAATACTGGAACATATACTTATTTTCATGCACCTAGTCAGTCTTTTACTGCCATTGATCTCTCGATTTGCTCCCCTTCACTTTTCACTCACTTTTCTTGGATGGTCGACAGTGATCATGGGGCAGTGATCATTTTCCTATTATTATGAAGGAGGTCGGCCATGGTCAATGCCACCCAACCCGAGTGCCAGTCTGACTGGCCAGCTTTCACTTCTCTCTCTGAACTTGATCCTGCCTTCATCTGTCTGCCATCAATAGACGACTGTGGGGCTGTAGTGACTGACTGTATTGTCCAGGCAGATTCTCATTTTATTCCTAAGACCTCGACATGTTTTCCACGGTATCCTCGTCTGTGGTGGAGTTCTGCCTGCCAGGAGGCACATAAGGCTCAAAAACGGGCCTGGGATACCTTTCGACGGTATCCCACTCTTTCTAACCGCATTGTTTATCAGTGGGCCGTGCCCATGCCTGGCAGGTTCGATGTCAAAGCCAAAAGGAGTCTTGGATAAAGTTCACTACTAGCATCTCTTCTACCACCAGTTCCAAAACTGTATGGGACAAGATTTGGAAAGTCACTGGGAGGTATGCTTCCCATCCCCTTTCCATCTTGCTCTCCAATGGCCAACAAGTTGCTGATGTCCAGAGCATTGCTGATGCTTTTGGCCAAAGCTTTTCTCGTGCTTCTAACACTTCTGTTTCTTCCCCTGCCTTCTTGGCCATTAAGTCTCAGGCAGAGCGATCACCTCTTTCCTTTCGGGCCAATCGTCTCTGTGATTATAATCGCCTCTTTACACTGTTGGAACTCCTCTTCATCGGTCTGGAAGTACATCGGTCAGACCTGATGATGTTCATTATGAGATGCTGTGCCATCTCTCTCCTGCCTCTCTTGCTACTATTCTGGTTATTTTTAACCGGATCTGGCAGGAGCATATTTTTCCTGATGCTTGGTGCCAGGCAATTGCCCTCCCTTTCTCTAAACCTGGGAAGGATCCCAACATCTCGTGTCAGTCGTCGAACATGAGGTTTATTGAGCGGCAGCTTCAGACTGCCCTCATTCAGTTGCTGACATGGACCACTGTAAACGATTTAAAATTTTCTTTTTCCAAAACCGTTTGCATGCATTTTTGCTGCCAATGGGGTCTCCACCCCGATCCCGAGCTCTGTCTCTGCAATATAGTTATTCTTGTGGTCCCAGAGGCAAAGTTCTTGGGGCTTATCTTTGACCGTAAGCTTAGCTTCATTCTGCACATCGAGCAGCTACGTGTCAAGTGTGCAAGGGCTCTGAACATCCTCCTTGTCCTCTCTTCCAGCTCTTGGGGGAGCGGATCAATGTTCTATGCTCAGGATCTATCGTGCCCTGATTTGATCCAAACTGGACTATGGGTCTTTGGTCTATGGTTCTGCCAGGACCTCGGCCCTGAAGATGCTGGACCCCATTCACCATCTGGGGCTTCGGCTCTGCACTGGTGCTTTTTGCACTTCTCCAGTCCAGAATTTGTACACTGAGTCCCATGAACCTTCTCTTCACCTCCGTCATTTGCAACTTTCTTTACAATATGCTACTAAGCTTTGATCCTTACCATGGCATCCCACCTGTGATTGTGTCTTTCTTCCTCGGTGGGCAATGCTCTTTCAGAACAGATGGTCTACTATTCCTCCTTTTGGCCTTCGTATTTGGGCACTACTGGCTGAATTGGGTCTGGCATTGTATGACATTGCTGTCCCCAATGATCAGCCCATTCCACCATGGCTTATTACCATCCCTTCCTGTGACTTTTCCTTGAGTCATCTGAGGAAGGCGGATACTTTTCCAGATCAAACCTTCTGTTGATCTTTGGCCGTCTTGCTTCCGTAAGGATCGGAAGGAGGAAGTTGTCTTGGCAAGGTTAGGCATTGGTCACAGTTTTTTAACCCATCGTTTTCTTTTATCCGGTATTGACCCACCAATGTGTAGGCATTGTGACACTTAAGTCACGATAGCCCACATCTTACTGTCATGTCGTCATTACGACCATGAACGGTGGCACAATTTCAGACACACATTTTTTAAGAGTTTACCCCTGATGTTCGACAGTGTTATTGGTAATAATGACACTGTCTGACTAGATTGTATTTTTAATTTTGTATGCACTATAGGTCTCTTTAATTGTATATAAATCTTTTATCAACATATTTTGGTTTTAACTCTCTCTATTTTTACATTTTATTCTAATTTACTGTCACTGTTTTTACTGGTTGTTTGGCGCAGATAACCTCGTTGCTTTGCACAATAAAGCATCAAACAAACAACCACAACCAACATATGGGGTTTATTGTTGTCACTTGTACACTGAGTTTTAAACCATTTGCAAAATATCAGAATAAACTTTATATATATCAGTTAGACTGTTTTAATTATAAAGCAACAACAACAGAAGTGTGGGTCTTACTACAAATT